GATTGTGATGCTGTATTTCTGAGTGTTTTATGTGCTGCAGAACAGGATCCTGCTGTAAAACAGCAATTATGCTGAGTCAGGCTTGATTTTTAGTAATCTTTTCCTGTTAAATCAATAAATCAAATCAAATCAAAAATGAGTGGAAAAATAAGTTAAAGTTACATTAAGATCATGCAAATGAAAAAAAGGCATCCACAAAAAAAAGAGAAAAAAATACACCTATCCTTGGGCTCTAAACAAACTTTTGTGACCACACACACATTAAATACCACGACCACAACGGTGCAAATATACACAAACTGCATGCACACCGTGTCATTTAAAAATGTGTTTTATAGCTGTGTGTATCACCCAAGGCAGATGGCAATGAGTTCCATTTTATGTGTCCAGCAGCCTTTTTTCCATTAGACCTGATGTAATGTCCACTCCATTATGGACCTAAAGAAAGGCTGCATTAAGACATGGTGGTTTATGTATACAGGCCAGACTGGAGCAAATTGCTCCTGTTCTTACAGAATGACAAGTATTTCTGTTTTCTTCCTTGTCTTTTCGTTCACTTATTTAACTGCTTTTTGTTGGAGTTTTTTTTAATAACTCTGTTTTTCTTTTGACTTTTTCTTGCTTTCCACCTGCAATCAACAACGATCATCATCCACATAGATCTTCATCGGAGAGGTTTCCATGTATGTGATGAAGTCAACGAGGGAAGCGCTCCTGGCCCAGGAGAAAACCATAGTGACAGGAGACTGTTGTTACCTTAACCCCCTTATCCGTCGCATCATTCGCTTCTTAGGTAAGAACATTCAAATGTCAGGTAAATAAGACCATTCATGGCATTATGGAAGGGGAGACTAACCACATACATGTTTATTTGAAAATATTAGAAACAAGATATCAAAACTTCCACACTGCTTTTCTAAAGCTCTTGAATGTAAAAGAAAAAGTTAAAAGACGTAGAATTTGTCTTTGAAGTTAATTCATGAAGGAAGCAAAAAAGATGGAAGGATGGAAGAAAATGAGGACGGAAGAAATGAAGGAAGAAAATAAATGGAATAAAATGTRGAAAGGAGTAAGGAGGGCAAGAAAGAAGGGAAGGAAAGGAGAAAAAGGATGAAGTACAGAAGGAATGCACATAAGAGGGAAGGAAATATAGTCATGAAAAAGAAAGAAAGGGAGGAAGCAAGGAAGAAAAGAGAAAAAGCAGGGAAGGAAGGAGGGATGAGGATGTGAAGAAGAAAGAAAAGGAAGGAAAAAAGATTTAAGAAAAATGTAGAGAGGATAGAAGGAAGGAAGACATGAGGAAAAAGGGGAGAATCCCAACAAGGAAGGAGGATTCAAGGATGAAAAAAAAAACAGCTGAGGAAGGAAGGGAGTAAGGAGGGATAAATCAAACGAAGAAAGGAAAGGAGGAAACTACCAAGGGACGAAATACAAAATAAATGAACATAAGATGGAAGGAAGGAAACAATGAACAAAGGAAAAGAACAAGAAAGAAAKAGAAAAAAGAAAGTGGGGAAGAATCAAAAAGGGGAATGAATGAAGGAAAGAGGATACAAGAAAAACAAAAAAGAGAGGATCCTAAAGCAGATAGGATAAATGATAAGGGTCAGCAGAGAGATGATACAAGAAAAGAAGGAATGATAGAGGGTACAAGAAAGTAAGAAAGGAAAGGAAGGGGAGAATACAAACAAGGAAGGAGGATACAAGGATGGAAGAAAACCATGGAGGAAAGAAGAGGTGGAAACAAGGGAGAATCAGTTTTTAAAGGGCCAATATTATGTGTTTCTCAGGCATATATTTAAATACTATACCATAATAAAGTATCTATGTCACCTTTAGCTGTTATTAAAATGCTGTGTTTATGTTTAAATAGAAAATAAACTTATCTTCTCATCACTTCCTCTTCTAAACACCTTGAAATTGGCCTTTGTCTCTTTAAGAACCATTTTCGCTTCTGTCTCGCCCATTTCAGTTCGGGGTGGTGGTGGTGGGGGGGTGGGGTTGCGCTCGTGGGTGGAGGGGTGGCTGCCATTATGCAGTTTACTTGGCATCTGAAAATACATTTCCTCAAAGGTATTTTGAATCTGAAAAGAGCTTCACTGAGTGAGAACTAATGTTGAGAGCTCAGCAGACAGTTAAGTATCTCTTTCACTTTCACCTGGGGGCCTGCAGGAGTCATGGGCGGGGTGTGTGGGGAGTGGGGAAGGGGGGAGCTCCGCCATGAGGAAGTTTGGGTTAAAGACACATCCCAGGGGCATTTCTGGTCCCCACCTGTTGTTTTGCTCCTCAGCATGGCTTCCTAAAAGCGCTGCAGGATTTCTCAAACATGCACGAATGAGTCAAAGCAAGGCTTTGGGCATGTTTTTTTTTTATGAGAAGTTAACATTATAACATGATATAAAACTCAAAAAAGTAGATTTTACATGATATTGCCCCTTTAAAAGAAATCATTTATTAATCATCATTTATCACTTAATTAGATTATTTTAATAGTTTTAATCATGACTTGACACAACATCAAGACTTAGMGCAAACGTTGTGACTCACCGACTGTTTGGGTCAAAGAGGTCTGCAGGGTTTTCCAGGCTTCATCCACATTCTAACCGTCCTGTTTTAAATAAAACCCTGTGAATTTGTAAACCATGTTTCATACACTCAGCAGGCAATTCACCTAAATTATTATTCCGTCTGTTTTTGAGCAATTGAGCAATTTCTCCGACTTTGAAGGATCATCGAGGCTCTTCCTTTCCTATTCTCTTGCCCCTTCCCATCTGCTCTCTCCTCACGCTAATCCTGCTTCTCCATTTCCCTCGATGCCCTTCACACAATCCCCGTACCCCAACACAGACACCTCCGCCTCACACACACACACACACACACACACAAACAGACACACGGACACGCACCGAGCAGCCACCCTGCACCCCGAGCCTGGATGACAATACAAAGGACAGTAATTTCATGGCTAAGCAGGCTAGATAATCAGCAGCCATATTTCACAGCAAAAGGAAGGCAGGCACAGACATCGGTCAGGCATGGGGGGCTGAAAGTGTCTGTGCAATCATTCATATTAATGCCACTTTTTTTTCTGTTTCGCATCTTCACTTTTCTTACCTGCTCCTAAAAATTAACATTTCTCGACTCTTCCCTTTTTAATTAACAGAACCATTAACAGAACCGTGCGTGCTGAAAGTTAGATAAAAGAGAAAAAAAACTCAACTTGGCTTCAGAAATCACACTTTGATTGACACGGCACTGGTACTACCTGAAAAGCAAACTGAGCACAATTTGAATTCAATGAACAAGTTTGTTCATTCGACCGACATCTGCTGTGTTTTCAGTGGAGCGGTTAGCTACACAATCCCCATTCTCATTTAATAAACTGTAATCAAACTAGTTTAAGAGATTTAAGCTGGTATATTTATTCTTATCCCAGCTAATCCTTTTGCATTCTGCAGTCAAACTCACAGGAGCCAAAGAGCTCAGTATGACTGATGTATGCTGGAAACAATTAGTTTTTTTTCCTAGTAATAAATGCTAAATTAACGTGATATTTTCCAGATGTTAAGCTCAGCTTAATGATTGTTTTAGGCTCATCTGGTGGCTCAGGGATCCAGATAGTCCCAGTCTAATTTCACACAGGGCATAATCAATTGAAACACATATGAATCATGTTGTTTATGTGCGATTGTYTCATTGCTGTTTGGTTTTCCAAGTTCTCCTTTCTCGTCTGTGCGCCCCCCAGGTGTGTTTGCATTCGGTCTGTTTGCCACAGACATCTTCGTCAACGCGGGCCAGGTGGTGACCGGAGGCCTCTCCCCTTACTTCCTGTCCGTCTGCAAGCCCAACTACACAGGTGCCGATTGTCGGTTTAATCACCAGTTCATCATCAACGGCAACATTTGCACTGGGAACGCCATTATTGTGGAGAACGCACGTCGGTCGTTTCCATCCAAGGACGCCTCCCTAAGTGTTTACTCTGCGGTTTACCTGACGGTGAGCGAATATATATTTATTGTTTGGTTTATTTAACAAGTTTTTAATAGGGATATAAAATGTGTAGATTAGAAATGAGGCACAATTACAGCTTTAAATTACTTTTTGTTTGTGCACGTTGGTTGATCTATTTTTATTTTTCATTTAAAGCACAATTTGCATTCAGTAATCATTTATTTTTTATTTGTTTCTTCTTGGCACTAGAAAAAAAAACATTTTCTTTTTTTTAACTTTATTAATTTTTGATTTGGCATTTTAATTGATGCCTAGGGAGAAATGTGGATAAACAACTGCTCCACCTGGTAAACTCACCCTTTCTGCAGTTTTCATTCTAAAAGCAATAATGAACCTAAGATTTATTGGCTAAGCCATAATTTACATCCAAAGTTAATAAATTTAAAAGAAATAAATGAGGAGGGACTTTAATGACACTGTCTTCAAGAGCAGTTTACATGAGCTCGAGATGAATTAAGCCAATTTTAATTAACTGGGTAGAAAAATGAAAGGTGGATTTTTGAAGGACTATCTAAGAAGCAGCTATGTGAAACTAATGAAAATGTGAGGAAGCACGAGTGCAGATTTTGTCAGCTTGAACAATTAAAAAGCTTTTTTGACATATTTGACTCCTCAGCTCTCGTGTCAGTGCTTAATGAGGTCATGAGGTTGTGTTTATTTCAGGGAGACAGAGTGTGCTGGTCCTTGTTAGGTTCATCTTGTAATATTTTATTCTCAAGAAAATGCAATTTTTTAAAAACTTTTACTCTAACGAATGTGTTTTACCTTGAGGATTTTCTGCTATTCTATGATAAATTTGACTTTTTTTCTGTAGGAACCACTTTAGATTCTCTAAAGAACTCTCACTTCTTTACATGCAGAAGACTTCGGTTCTTTCTCTCAAGAGAGAACCAGTTTTTTTTCTAAACTTGTGGAGCAAAATAAAATTTATAATCTTTAAAGC